TGAGCCACGCCGGCCGGGTCTGATGTGCAATATCTTGAATATGAGAAACACACCTTAGAAACACTTCCCTCACGCTCCCCAGTCCTCACCCTTAAAGGTCTCAATGTGCATTTGCAAATACTTTCCTGCAAGAGGAGAATTTAATCAGGAGTCAGTGATGTCTTCAATGCAGCCATGGATGCCCTGAAATTGATTTCTGGGGCTCCCTTGGGCTCCCCCTCCAGCCTCCTCTCTGTGGTGTGCCCCCTCCAGCCTCCTCTCTCTGGTGCGATTGTAGAAGAATTTTATGATCACTGGGCTTTGTTTGGGGCTGTTTAGTGCTAAACACAATTAATACCCAAATGCACACAGAGCTAGATGATAAAGCCATACACAGAGCCGGCTCTAGCCTCCGGTAGATGAGCCCGGGAATCCCTCGTAATTCCTCAAAAAAAGAGATGATCAGCATAAAATACCCGGAAACCCCCAAATATTCGTTCTTTTTTTGAAGAGGGTAGTATGGGTTGACCAACCTCAGGAGATCAAACAATGAGACCTCTGGTCATTGAAATGAAAACTATTTCCAGTGATGTCTTCGAGCCTTGTCTAGCAGGGATGGGTGAATATTTTCAGGCTTAAGGTTTTTATCTTTGTCTTTCTCTGTTTAATATATATTTAGTAGAGGCCAGGTGCACGAATTCGTGCACCAGTGTGGTCCCTCGGCCTGGTGTGTGAGATCTGGATGAAGCTGGCTCTCTGACATCCCTCAAGGGTTCCCAGATTGCGAGTGGATGCAGGCCAACTCAAGTGACCCCACCGGTGCACGATTGGGTCCAGGGTGTGATATGGGAATTTGGCCAGCTGGAGAGGGACCATGGGAGGCCTTTAGGGTGTGCCCGGAACACCTCCCTCAGTCCCGATCAGCCAGACCCCATCAGCAAGCTAACCTACCATTCTGAATGTCGTGTCCCTGGTGGTCAATGCATATCATAGTGAGCAGTTGAGCAACCTTAGTATATTATTTGCATATTATGCTTTGATTGGTTGAACAGATGTCCAGCCGAATGGACAGTTAGCATATTAGGCTTTTATTATATAGGATTGATTTCATACAGGAAGGAATCGAGAAA